GTCAAAACCGTTTGAAGAAAAGCTAATGGAATCCTAGGTTTTATAAATAGAAGCACAGAATACAAAAGCAAAGAGGTAATGTGAACACTACAAATCACTGGATACGTCGCAGCTGGAGTATTGTGTCTAATTCTTGGTGCCCCACTTTTTGAAGGATGTCAAGGCCATAGAGAGTGTACAGAGCAGATTCATTACTTATGAAACATAGAGAAACTAGAACTGTTCTCACAAAATGAGTCACTAACTATCATAATAATAATCCTTGTATTTGAAATAGGGCTTTATCATGTCTTCGAAACGTCTCAAAGGGCTTCACAGAGTATACTGTAAAGTGAATTGCCTGTATGTTTTGTGGGCGAAACGCAGCAGCCAATCGTGCACAACAGTGTCCCACAAACAGTCGTGGATTGAGTGACCAAATTATTTTTTTTATGAAGGGGTTATTACCCCCCGGGAATGCGATCCGCCAATTGACTGGCAATCCTTTCCTTTTTTTTTGCCACTTCTTGGCAGCGAGGCAAGAGTGACATTAACAAAAGATCACCCACCCCATCTTTTTAGCTACAAACCATAGATAGCTTGTGGTGAGAATCATAGAACACTGAACTCATCCTATCCCTAAAACCAACCACCTGCTCCCTTGACCCCATCCCCACTCCACTCCTTATCTCCCAGCTCCACTTTCTTGCCCCACATATCACTGACATCATAAACCTGTCCCTCTCCTCTGGCTCTGTCCCCATTCCATTAAAAACTGCCATCATCACGCCCACCCTGAAAAAACCCTCCCTTGATGCGTCGCAGCTATCAAGCTACCGGCCCATCTCCAACCTCCCCTTTCTCTCCAAGGTCTTGGAAAGAGTTGTCGCCTCCCAACTGCGCTCTTTCCTCTCCACCCATTCTCTTTTCGAACCCCTTCAGTCAGGTTTCCGTGCTGCTCATAGCACAGAAACTGCCCTGGTCAAGGTCACCAATGATATCCTGACCATCTGTGACCAGGGCTCCCTCTGTCTCCTCGTCCTCCTCGACCTATCGGCAGCATTCGATACGGTCGACCACGCTATCCTACTCCACCGCTTGTCCTCCCACCTCAACCTTCAAGGCACTGTCCTTGAATGGTTTAGCTCTTACCTTTCCCACCGTCTTCACTTCGTCTCAACGAATGGCTTCTCCTCCACCCCCCGTACTGTCTCATGTGGTGTCCCTCAGGGCTCTGTCCTCGGTCCCCTCCTCTTCACCCTCTATATGCTCCCCCTCGGATGACACCCAACTCTACCTTTCCTCCTCTACTCTCAACTCCACGACCACCGATGTCCTGACAGCTGCCTGTCCGACATCGAGTCCTGGACGAGAGACAACTTTCTTCAGCTCAACGTGCGAAAAACCGAGGCCCTCCTGATTGGCTCACGTCAGCGCCTCCGCACCTCAGGCGCTGACACCATCAGCATCCAAGGCTGCACTCTCCACCTCTCAAAGCCAGTCAGGAACCTCGGCGTTTTGTTCGACCCTGAGCTGTCCTTTCTCCCTCACATCCGCACCACAACTGGCACCGCCTTCCATCACCTCCGGAATATCGCCAGACTACGGCACTACCTCACCCCTCACGCTGCTGAAACCCTGGTTCACGCCTTTGTCACCTCAAGGCTGGACTATGGGAACTCTCTCCTCGCCGGCCTTCCCGCCACCTCCCTCCACAAGCTGCAGGTCATTCAGAACTCTGCAGCTCGTGTACTGTCCCGCACCAGGCTCGCGACCACATCACTCCCACCCTCGCTCGCCTCCACTGGCTCCCCATCCCCCAGAGGATTGATTTCAAGATCCTCATCCTCACCTACAAGGCCATTCACGGCCTTGCTCCCTCCTACCTCTCCAACCTACTATCCCCCTACCTACCTGCCCGTACCCTCCGTTCCTCTGGCTCCGGTCTGCTCCACGTCCCCCGCCCCAACCGCCCTACTATTGGTGGTCGGGCCTTCAGCCTCTCAGCCCCAGGCTCTGGAACTCCATCCCCCAGTGCCTTCGCCGCTTCCTCCCTTTCCTCCTTCAAGGCCGGTCTCAAAACCTTTCTCTTTGACCGTGCCTTCAGCTCCCCTCTCGACTCTCTTCCTCCTCCTCGCTCCCTCCCTTCCCTCCCCTCACCCTGACCATTTCCCCCCTCCTCTCTCCCTCCCTTCCCTCCCCTCACCCTGACCATTTCCCCCCTGCTCGGGTCATGACCCAACTGTGCAGCGCCTTGGGACGTCCTCCTGACGTGAAAGGCGCTCTATAAATAGAATCTTGTTGTTGTTGTTGTTGTTGTAGAATCTTTCAATACAGTTGGTGCTATTTGGCCAATTGTGCCTGTGCCAGCTCTCTGTGAGCTCCCTGCTTAATCCCAGCTCCTGTACTTTTCCCACGACCTTTTGTATTTTTGTTTTCAAAACTTTGTCTAATTCCCTTTTAAAAGCTATTTGTGCTTCAATCATCTTTTTTGGTAACATGTCCCAATAACACACTGTTCAAAAAATAATCCTAACTTCTCCTGTTTTTTCTTTGATGATCACCTTAACATAACATAATATAACATAACATAGGTCATGGCAGGAGTAGGCCATTCGGCCCTTCGAGCCTGCCCCGCCATTCAATCGTGGCTGATCTTCTAATCTAACTTTAGCTAATAACCTAACCCTGCCTTATCCCCATGTCCCTTAATCACTTTTGCAATAAGAAATCTATCTATCTCAGTCTTGAATATGTTCAAGGACTGAGCGTCAACAGCCCCTTTTAGGTAGTGAGTTCCATACATTCACCACCATTCTAGTGAAGACGTTCGTCCTCAACTCAGTGTAAAAGGGCTGCCTCTGAATGTAAGGTTGTGACCCCTGGTTTTAGTTTTTCCAACCAGGAAAAACAATCTCCCACTATCTACTCTATCATGCGCTTTGATGATCTTATAGGTTTCTATAAGATCCACTCTAATTCTTCTATATTCTAGAGAATATAGACCCAAATTGGTCAACCTATCCTCGTAACTCATCCCCTTCATCCCTGGCACTAACCTAGTAAATCTACGCTGCAAATACATCCTTCCTTAAATAAGGAGACCAAAACTGGACACAGTATTCCAGGTGTGGTCTCACCAGGGCCCTATACAGTTGCAGCAAGACTTCCCTCCTCTTATACTCTAATCCTTTCATAATGAATGCTAACATACCGTTCGCCTTCCTAATTGCTGCTGCACCTGCAGACTGACTTTCTGTGATTGGTGTACAATACTTGCCTCAGATTTAACTATATCCCTCTCTAACTTAATGCAGAATTCAATCATATTGTGATCACTTTGCCCTACAGGATTCTTAATACCTACACTGCCGACTAGCCCTGTTCCGTTACACAAAACAAGGTCTAGGATGGCCTGTCCCCTAGTTGGTTCCTCGGCTGCTCTAGAAAGTTCTCTCTCATACACTCAACGAACTCTTCTTCTGACCTACTTTTTCCGATTTGGTTTTCTCAATCTATGTGGAGATTGAAATCACCCACTATTATCGCTTTACCTTTCCTACAGGCTCCACTGATTTCTTGATTGATACCCTGTGCTATATTGTGATCGTGTTTGGGGGTCTATAAACCACTCCCATTAATATTTTCTGCCCTTTATTGTTTTTTATTTCCACCCAAAGTGTCTCGACCTCCTGGTCATTGGATTTCAGATCCTTCCTCTCCACTGCTTTTATTTCATCCCTAATTAACAGGGCTATCCCCCCACCTCGTTTCCCACAGTGCCTATCTTTCCTGTAAACTGAAAACCCTGGAATATTTAACTCCCACCCTAGATCTCCTTGTAACCATGTTTCAGTGATGGCTATTAGATCGTACCCATATGTGTCTATCTGTGCTTTTAATTCATCAGTTTTATTCTGAATGCTTCGCGCATTCAGATGTAACATTTTTAATTTCCTACCATTTCCTCTACTCTCTGATTCCTTATCTACTTTGCCAAGCTTCTTACCCCTAGTTAACATAATCCTATTATCTGGCATGCTATTCTGCACTGTCATCTTTACTTTTTCTAATGCTAACTTATGGTTTCTCTTACCTATATATTCCCCCCACTTTACTAGTTTAAATTCCTATTTATTTCCCTGTTAATTCGTCTAGCTAGGACATTTGTCCTAGCACAATTTAAATGCAGCCCTTTTCTCTGAAAGAGCTCACTTTTCCCCCAATACTCGTGGCAATGGCCCATAAAAAGAAACCCCTGAGTTCTGCACCACTCTTTTAGCCATGCGTTCAAGTCCTTAAATTTTTGTTCCTGTACTAATTGTCGTATGGTACAGGCAGTAGTCCCGATATTACCACCTTCGATGATCTCGACTTCTATTTGGACCCCAGCTCTTCGAATTCCCTTCTCATGTCATCTTGGCCGACTCTACCGATGTCATTGGTACCAATGTGAAGTACCACCAATGGATCCTTGCCCTCATATTTTAAATTATCTTCTAGCCCTGCCGAGACATCCTTCAGGGTTGTGACGAAGCGTTGTGAACCCGAAACATTGACTCACTTTCCTCTCTCCATAGATGTTGCCTGACCTGCTGACTGTTCCCAACCATTTCTGTTTTTGTTTCAGATATCCAGCATCTGCAGTATTTTGCGTTTTGTTTATTATGATTACTGTACAGAACGGCACAATGAGGGACAACAGTACAATGAGTACAATGAGGGAAACAATGGAATCAATCCAAACTTAGAATATGGTGCAGCACCTGCTCTTGCTTCTACATCACAACTCTGCTTGCTGCTTAGCTTCTCATTTTAAAACGAAAGCAGAAGAGAGCGTGGATACAGTGAAGTGGTTTGTAGGAGTGTAACCACGCAACATTGGAAACATGAAACACCCTTGCTAACATCCTTCTCTCTTTTTTTCTCTCTCTCTCCTTTTTTCTCTCGCCACATTGCCTCCTGTACCCTTCTCCTATTTGTCCTGTTCTGTACATCTCTTCTCTTCAATTCGGCTTCAGTGTGATCAAGACCAATGCATTCAGAGCACGAAATTCGTTTTGCAGGCAGCGGCCACACCACTGTTACAGAGCGAGCCAAGTCTGACCAGCGAGGAGCCCACTCTGCCGGGGAAAATGACAATATCTCCTGCCTGTACCACATTGGGTCTCGGGCAACCAACGCCTCCATCATCCACACTAAACCTCACTGCAGATCCTGTAGTAATGGATGCCATGCCGTTAAAAGATGGTCGCGAAGGTCATCACTTTCTTACACCAGACGAGGCTCCTTCACCCCCGGGAATGCTCACCCCAGGTACCCCTATCTCACACAGCCACACGATGCACATCTTGAATGCGGTCGCCCAGGATTCGATGCACGAAGATTCAGTCCGTGGTCTTGTCAAACTCAGCTCAGTTTGAATCCTTCCTGTTGTGCTCCATTCCCATCTCCCACCAGTTCCAGTTGTTTAATGGGATGGGATTGCCAAACCCCTTATCAGGACGCGTCATTACAAAACTGCCACATGGAATAAAAACATAACCTCTTGCCTGGAACCAAGACGTATGTGCCATTAGAATAATCGTGTAACGGAGCCATTTTTATTTTGGAGTTCATTTTAGACTATGACCCTGCAATGCAAATGTCGTGGGAGCAAACGTGTTTAATGTGTGGAGCCATTGACTTGACGTTTTTGTTAGAAACTGCACTCAGTCTTATGTCTATTTTTCAATGATGGGGCCAATTGTGACACACTATAGGGAACAGACAAGACTTGGGGACACTTATGTTGGAATTAAATGTCCAATCCAGTATTATGCTGCCCCTTAACATAAGGCCAAACTAGAACTCTAGACTGAATTATTACATTGGGAGTTTTTCTGAGACTGTAATCCAGAACTCTGTTGAATGACTGCAGATATGATTTTGCATACCACTTAATAAAGAGGGATTGTGTCTTGCTGTACAAATGCTACCTACTTTTCATCCCTCTGCAAACAGTCTGGTAGCACTGTATAAAATGAAGGCAAAAAAAATACAGAGAACTGAAAGAAAGCAACATGTTATCCTTCACAGTATTTTTTTTAATTGGCCAATAGGATCTGGAATATTGAGGGCTACTGTATTGTCTCTTATCATATCATTTATTCTTTTTATGCAGTGTTTAATAGAGTATTGTGTTGTGATATGTCACCGTTCCAAACTGGTGATATTTACTTCCTGTGGACATTAATAAATTGATTAAGCCTTTTATTCTTTAAATTCACATACCTCGTCACTTGTGTACAGTACAATTCTCACACCTAATGAGAAAGCTCTCCAGTTATGTAAAGGGCCCTGTTCCAACATTACCTGGATCCTAATACTAATGAGCCCACATGTGCTTTTCTTTCTCTGACCTACAGTTGTGTTTATATCTTAAATGGGTTTGTGCATACATCACAAACACCCGTAAAATTATGGACAACAAAAGAAGTATCCTAAGAAAATTCAGATACATTTTGATCCTAACATAAATATGTGCTGGTGAAAAGGTTTAGATATTTAGTGCCTTCAACTCTGGAACTCTCTCCCTCAATACCTCCACATTGCCACCCTCCCTCCTCATTTCAAATCCCGCTTAAAGATCTTTATTTTTGATCATGTCACCTCCCCGCTCCATCTCCCCCTGGCTCGGTGTCAGACTCAGTCACTGTCAAGCGCTCCGGATGCTACTCAGGTTGTGAAATGCAAGTTGTTGTTGTTAGTGCCAACTTTATTCTGTATGCGTATGAAATAGAACGTTCATATCATGATACCACTTTATTTTTCTGTCAAAAGGCAATGAACAAGTACGTTCAATAGTGTCCCACATACAGTCGTAGATTGAATGACCACATTTTTGAGTGGGAGGGATTATTGCTCCTGGAAAGCAATCTGCCAATCGACTAACAACTGGGTTCCTGCTTACTGCTAGATAAACAGAGGCGTCTGGAGTAAGGAAACTTGCCTAAGGTTTCGCCCTGCCAGGGATTGAATCCGGGTCCCCTCGCTTGCGAGGCAAGAAAGCTAACTACTACACTACGGGACTCCTTAATTGTCTCTATCTTGTAAACGTATGAAGATACCTATTCATACTTTGTATGAACAAACACTGGTATCTTTGCGAGCGTGTACAGTGCTCCAATGAGGACAAGAGAAGAGAGGGTCACAGCTTCGTCACAGAATAAAATGAAACCTTAGAATAATAAGATTCCACACCAATACTGTATTATCATAGTGGAGTCCTGTAGCTCATTGGTTAGAGCACTCGTTTTGCAAGCGAGAGACCTGGGTTTGATTCCCGGCACGTTTCCTTATTCCACATGCCTGATAATAATCCGTCAAAAAAAATAATAAATTGGCCATTTCAATCCACGACTGTTTGTGGGAAACTGCTGTGCGCAATTGGCTGCCGCATTTCCCCCAAAAATATACAATCAATTCACTTTACAGTCTATTCTGTGAAGCGCTTTGAGACGTCTAGTAAACTTGAAAAGCGCTATATCAAATGTAAGGATTATTATTATTATAGTCCTGTAGCTTAGTGATTAGAGCACTCGCCTCATAAGCGAGAGGATCTGCGTTGGATTCCCAGGCAGGGTGAAACATTGGGCAAGTTTCCTTATTCCACACGCCTCTGTTTACCTTGCAGTAAGTAGGAACCCGGTTGTTAGTTGATTGGCAGATCGCTTTTCTGGGAGTACTAATACCTCCAAAATTATAAATGTGGTCACTCAATACGTGGCTGTTTGTGGCACACTACTGTGTGCAATTGGCTGCAGCATTTCACCAACAAAGTATACAGTCAATTCATTCTGTGAAGCGCTGAGACGTTTCAAAGATGTGATTAAGATGTTATAATCAAATGCAAGCGTTATTATTATTAATAATATGATGGTTTATTTCACTCATAAGAAAGATCATAGAGTAAAATGTACAACTAATCTTTGAATTATACAACACAGAAAGAGCCCATTTGACCCATTATATAGTTGCTGGGAACATGGAGCAGGTCAGGCAGCATCCATGGAGAGAAGAGAATGAATTAACTTTTCAGGTCTATGACTTTTCGTCAGAACACCTGAAACGTTAACTCATTTTCCTTTCTTCATGGATGCTGCCTGACCTCCTTTGTGTTCCCAGCGCCTTCTGTGTTCACAACAGATTTCCAGCATCTGCAGTACTTTGCCTTTTGGCCCATTGTACAGGCGTGTGGGTTCTCTGAAAGAGCTCTCTCTTCACAGCGACCCACTGTCTTGCCCTTTAGTTATAGTCTTTGATATTTTTTAAACTATTTGTTTCATTCCTTTTAAAAGCTATCATGAATTATTTTCAACTATCATTTTCGGTAAGGCATTCCACGTCCTATAACCTTGTGTAACGTGTGAAATAATGTCTCCTTTGTCTTTTTGTAATTCAATTTTAATTAGATCTTAAATTTATTCATCAAGCAGTGGAAAAGTCTCGCCCTTTTCACCTTATTCCAAACCTCTCATAATTTTGTACACCTCCATCACCCCCCTCTCACACAGTCCCAGTTTCTCTATTCTCTGCTGATTAGTAGCTCTGCAGTCTAGTTTTTGCCCTGCCCGCAGCACAGACACAGCACTTATCAAAGTCAAAAACAACCTTCTCTCTATCTGTGACCAGGGCTCCATCTGCCTCCTCGTCCTCCTGGATCTCTGCCTCATTCGACACTGTTGACCAGGCCATCCTCCTCCGAGGGAGACCTCATCCATCACAGTGCACATGCATGGTTCGAGTCCTACTCCTCCTGCCCTCGCCTGGTCACCTGCGGTGTACCCCAGGGCTCCATCCTTGGCCCTCTTTTTTTCTTTATCTATATGTTCCCAATGGGCGATGTCATCCGCAGACACGGGGCAAACTTCCACATCCATATCTACTTTGCCGCCTCCAGTACCAACTCCAGGTCCACCGAGGTTCTATCAGCTTGTCTGGTAGACATCAGGGCCTGGATGAGTGCAAACTTCCTGCAGCTGAATGTGGACAAGACGGAAGCCATACTCCTTGGCTCCCATCAATGTCTTCACTCCTGTGGATCTGAACTCCTCAACCTCTCTGGCCTCTCCCTCAGACTCACCGAACCAGTGCGCAATCTAGGCGGCTGATTCAACCCCCAGCTGTCTTTCCTCACCCACATCTGATCTCTGACCAGGACCGCTTTCTTCTACCTCCGCCACATTGCCCACCTCAGACAGTACCTTACCCCAAATGCAGCCGAAAATCTTGTGCATGAGTTTGTCACCTCCCAGCCTGGATTACTCAAACAAGGGTTTCGGCTGCATTTGGGGGGGTGGTACTCCCAAATGTAACCTAACCAGTAATTTGTACAGCATTAATACCAGTTCCTTGCTTTTGTATTCTATGCCCCTATAGTATAAAATCCAGAACATCATTAGTGTTTTTTATAGCCTCGTCAATTTCTAATGAGAACAACGGGGACCGTTCTCACCAGAACAGAAACAAACAAAAACAACCAGCAACGTTGAGGGACACTGAGGGTGAGATTGGGAACTGATGAACATCAAGGCTGCAGAGATGTGGGTTGGGGGTTGGGATCAGGAGTGATGGAGGGCAGGGAGGGCTCGGGTAGGAGGGTGGCCGAAGGTGCGGTCGAAGAGGAGGGTCTTGAGACGTTCCTTGAAGGAGGCAAGGGAGGGAGTGAGGCAAAGGGACTGTGGGATGGAGTGCCAAAGGGTGGGAGCAGAGAGGCCCATCAGCCGATGATGCGGCGGGCTGGGCAGGGGACATGGATCAGGCCGGAGCCTGCTGAGCGGAGGCAGCGGATAGATTGATAATATCAACCAGTAACTGCAAAGAAATTGAAGATGAGGTATTAAGGCAATTAAGATAGGTATAATAAAGTAGTAATTATGGGGGACCTCAATATTCCAAAAGTAAACTGGGGGAGGATAAAGATTTGTCCACAAAACTGGGATATTGATAGATGTAATTCATCCAACAAGCAAAGAGACAGTACTGATTCTGGTTGTGGTAAATAAATCAAATAAGTTAAGCGATTGAGACACGGTGATGACAATATAATTAGATTCTATGTCAAAGTAGCAAACAAAGAGACAAAAATAAAGGTATAAAAGGACTGGAGGTAAATTTTGCAGTTGTCAGGTGAGAACTAACTCAAATAAACTGGGAGATAAGTTTGAAAAGTAAAGAGTAGATCAATAATGGGAAGTTTTCAAATACAAAATGAAGAGTGCAGATGATACTACCTAATAAATAATAATAATTATTGCATTTGATATAGCGCTTTATCACGTCTTCAAGATGTCTCAAAGCCCTTCACAGAATATACTGTAAAGTGTAGTGAATGTATATTTTGTGGGTACCCAATTACTCACAGTAGTGTCCTACAAATAGTCGTGGATTGAGTGACCAAATTATTATTCTTATATATTTTTTTGAAGGAATTATTATCCCTGGAAAATCGATCCGCCAATCGCCTAACAACTGGGTTCCTACTTACTGCTAGGTAAACAGGCGATTGGAGTAAGGAAACTTGCCCAACGTTTCGCCCTGCCCGGGAATCGGTCCTCTCACTTGCAAGGCTAGTGCTCTAACCACTTCGCTACAGGACTCCACAAAGGGTTCGGGTTCAAAATCAGAATACAGAGACAAAGTGGATAAAGTCTAGAAAATTCAACGCAGAACTGAAACAGAAAGCAAGAGAGGGTGCGAAATAAGACTCAAGCACCATAAAAGGTTTTTGCTCACAAAATATAGTCAATCAACTTTACAGTATATTCTGTGAAGTGCTTTGAAATATCTCGAAGACGTGATAAAGTGCTATATCAAATGCAAGGATTATTATTATTAAACAAAAAACACAAGATAATCAGGGAAAGGTAGGGTAAAAGGAGTGTGGAGGAAAAGCTGTATATACATAAGCGCTTTGCACTTGTGTTTATTAGCGGAGATTGATGGGTTGTGCAGGGAGATAGATGTAAAGGAAGAGCCAGAAGGCTGGCAATGAGGAAACGGTAGACAAAAGGTTGTTGGAATTTAAAATGGATGAGTCACCAGGACCAGATGGGTTTCCTTCCCAGAGTGCTGAAGGTGGCTAAAGATCAAATAGTGGAACTGTGAAACTTGTCAGGAAAAGAGTGGTACAAATGCATAAATCGCTGGGAGTGAGATGTCAGGTTGGACCAGTTATTGTGTTCCATTCTCTCCCCCCGCCAACCCTGCCCCATATAAGTACA